TATTTTATGATTATATGTATATAACGATTATCATGAATGTACGATTTATATTGATATAATTAAAAAGTTTAAAAAATACACTATCACGAGAGTTCATAATCGTTTAAGAAAATACGTAATGTATAAATTGAGAATATTTTGTTATGCGATGAGAAGAATAATATTGCGAATAATCAGGAATGTTATTAAAATAATTGCCAGTCGAATGTCTCCACGTTACATGTTACTGTTCGACAGCCAAGTACAACGGGTTGCCTGCTCGAAGGGTTTCATCTATTTGGATATACAGATTGTTTTTTACTGGGTCGATAACTTGCGAAAAATTCATCATACTCGTAGCCCTCTGGTGGTCATTGTAGTTAAGAAGGTGTCGCCACATCACAGATCACCTGCAAGCTTGCTTTAAATAGCATTTCGTCATCTACAGGACGTAACTGAATTATATTCTGTTGTGTCACGCATGGTAGTTTACTAATCGTGAAAGTATCGGTCGTTTAGAATTTACAACGATATCGAATTGGGAATGTAAGGACTTTTATGAAACGTACGAGGTAAGTTAAATTGACACGTATGAAATACGACATCTCTCGACATTCGACGGTGTTTCCGAAACGTTCGAATCTTATTACGTGCTACAAAAACATTGACCCTGACTTAACGTTGTATTATTGTGTATGCATATGTAGCTGTGATGCATGTTACTACGATGCTACGTAAACAGTATGATAAAACGTAAATGAAAACAACGCAAAGGGAACTGTGTAGCGTATATTTTCTATTAAGAAATTCTAATAATTGTGAAACGTTCGAATAAATAAACAGGTTGAAATTTAATATGCTGTGCAATATTATTGTTAGATGGCACCTAAAAACAAGGAAAACAATTCTTCATCGAATAAGAAAAAGCGGCAGATTTCAGAGGAAGAGGATGATGAAGATTATAGAAGAAGAAGGGATAGAAATAATCAGGTAAACAATGATAAATAAATTAAACTTACATCCTGTAACATTATATACCATTTTATGTAAATTTATGGTACTCTTATAGGCTGTAAAACGTTCTAGAGTTAAAAGTAAATTACGTACTCAGCAGACTTTAGAACGTGTGAATCAATTGAAGACAGAAAATGAGTTGCTTGAAGAAAAAATCAAGATGCTTACCAAAGAACTTGGATTTTTGAAAGATCTTTTCCTTGCACATGCAGGTATGTGTACGTACCTCTTTACATGTCATTTTTCATTACACACACATATACACATTTATGATATTTATTATTTCAGGATCAAGTCAACATTCTATCAACTTTCAAGATTTAGACTTAAATGCCCTTTTGGCTGATGATTCAAAATCTGAAGATCAGGGGAAGAAAGGATCTAAACTATAGATCACAATAAGTTCCACGTAAAGAAATAACGTGGTACTGATACAATTTGAGATGAAGATGTGCTTTGGTTCGTCTAATTCTGTCAACAAAGTAGATATCTTGGAAGGATATCTACTTTTAATTGATTTGTAAGAACCTTGAGGTGTATGGAGTTTGTATGCATGCATCTCATTACAATTGAAAATTGACCAACATTAAAATTTGGGACACTGTACATCAGAGTGTACAAAATTGAAAATATGAATGACTATTAAAATATAACTGTGAACAAAGTCACACTGACGATTTAAATATTGAAAAATGTAAATTTTGTAAATATTCTGATCAGAGAAAGGAATAGAATGGTATATAAGAAGGAAATATATATTTGAGAGTATTTAGTATATTGAACACTTCAATGACAAAAATATCTTGATCAAAAGTAAATACAGTTTAGGTAAATACTGCCACCATTCTCTGTTACATTCATTGATACAATACCATTTGTTATAATTGTTGATAACAGCTTTGCTCGAATCATTCCAATTTAGGTTTTCTTTTAGATGTTTTTATGTTATTATCAGTCTACACAGATATTAAGATGAAATGCAATAAACATGTACATTCTATACAGTTACAAGAGTAGTGAGAAATGTATGTTACTAAATTATATATTTATAAATGACCAAGAGAATTTTTAAATTAAATAAACTAAATGACATGTAAGTAAATACATACAGTAGTAACTAAAAAATAATGTCAAGTTTTTTCTTCCTAAAAACGCATTAGCCATTTTCAGGTCACTGATGTCACTTTTAACATTTACTTTAAAACGAGTATGTATTGAAATTGTATCTATTTCGGAGTAAGTAACAGACGTAATTGTTTACTACAATTTTTATCCGCAAGTCACATCAAATGCTCGCGCTAAAAGTACAATACGCAGAATTTCGATTCTTGCTGAATCTAAGTCATGAATTGTCGATAACGACGAGCACGATATCGAAATGGTACGGGGGTTCCCAGTATCTTGAATTTCTGTTTAAAGTAAACAATAAGTAGCGTCATTAGAATACAAGACTCAAATATGGGGAAAACAACGAAAGTAGTTGTTTGTGGAATGAAAGGCGTAGGGAAAACAGCTTTATTAGAACAGCTTATTTACGGAAGCATCAACACTAAAACAGTAAGAATTAAGGTTATGTTCATTTAAAATCGTTTGACAAGAAAGCGCATATATATGTTATTAATACATAACAACCTTTAGAACTATATTTACCTTGCTATTACGTATAAAATTTACGTTATGCTACGTACGTTCTTCATACGAATTAATCTTTATGATACAACAGGAAATTCATCCAACAATTGAGGACATATACATTGCTAATATAGAAACCGATCGCGGTACTAAAGAAAAAGTACGCTTTTATGACACAGCTGGATTAGAATCTCTGCAGAATAATGCAAACAATCAGCAACTGCCACGGCATTACCTTGGTTTTGCGGATGGTTATGTCCTCGTATACGATACTGCGAAACCCGAATCCTTGGATGTGCTCTTTCCATTGAAAAAGGACATTGACCGTAATAAGGATAAAAAAGAGATAACTGTAATCGTTGTGGGTAATCGAACCAAAGCCGAAGAAGATTCCCAGAGTTTAGAGAATACGGCTAGCAAAGCAGCAAATTGGTGCACTAGAGAGAAACTTAAACATTATGAATTAAATGTTATGGACAGACCTAGCTTGTTCGAAGCATTCGTTCATCTATCTTCCAGACTGAATCCTCCCACGAATAAGAGTACTTTCCCCCAGCTGAGTATGGGTAGAAAGAACGTGAAAGTGGAAGCACCTTAATTATATTTATTTATTATCAACAATTTGAGCCTACCTATGTCAATGGTAATCTTCTTCTTGTCATTGACATTGGTCCCTTTTGTTCAGTACATTGTACGACAAAAAACTAAGCGTACAAGTGATAACTTAACATGTACTTAAAATATTGACTTGCTTGAGTGCTCAACTTATGCATCTTTTGTTCCTCTTCTGTACTTAAAATATTTTTTACTAAACACGAACGGAGATCAATGAAACAGATAAATACAAACGTGTAAAAATATATCAACAACGGTGACGCGTTGGTTTCACCATTCTAACGGTTTCGTTAATTGCCGCAAGCAAATGGTCGTCCCGAGCGCATGATCCCATATCCTGCTGCTGATACCGAAACCTGGGGAACCGATTGTTAGCCAGTAAGAAACTCGTTCGACGTATTTAAAGGCGAAAGATATGTTACCCAATTCGTGATGCAAGAAATGATGATAATTGTGATTCCTTTTCATGGTGTAGAGGTAACTGCCGGCCCTCGGCGCGCCGTGATGTAAATAGTAATGAATTAAATCGTAACATATGTATCCTGCGAACGAAACTAACTTATAGTAAACAGTAATTTATGTTAGATGTAAGCACGTCGATCAGAAGTACCTGTTGTAGTACCAGCTGCAAGAAAATAAACTACTGTCTGAGGAAATGATACTTCATAGAGGTCCAATAACAACTTGGCTATCAATAAACCAGGCGCAGGAGGGAAAACCAATCTCCTGTTGTCGAAGGGAGCCTTCGGAAATATATGAAAGGGTAACCGATTAATTGGTACATATCATTACACCGCCTTCGAGATTATTCTCGTTTCTGTTTCAATTATAAAATAAACTGTTTCTTTCTTTTTTCTCAATCGAATAAAATCTTCGTTGCAATATCCTTCACGGATTGAAAAGGTAAGTTCGTGAACGCATCTGACCCGTTGCCTAAACGCTTGCTCGTTGTTTTACAGACCATTTACCTTGTGATGAACCCCGTGAAGTAAAAAGTGCGCAGTGATAAGTAGCTTCGACGTGGCTGGCGGTTTGAAATGAAAAACTTTGCGGTGAAGCACGTACTCTAATAGGGTCCATAGCAATATCCCTGACATGTACGAGACCAGAATTTCGAATAGCCTGTGCCCTGAAAGTTTCAAATATCGATTTGCGCTGTCTCCGTCTGGACAACCGGTCATCCCAACGTGTTATCGGTATTGCAACTATCTTTATCAAAGTCGTTAGTTCTGTCGCCGAGCTCACGTTGAGATTATTTCTGTAAGAGGACGCGGCCCTCGTACCGGAAGTCCTTGCCAAGAACTCCGTGACGTCTCGACGATCGTCTAACGTTAGCTCGATACGTTCAAGATCGGATATAAATTCAGAGATCGGACGTTTGCGGACGAGGCGCAAAGCCACGCGGGAATAATGAAAAGTAATTACCAGTATAATGGCCGGCATTGGTCACGAATCCTATGTAAATGAAGTAAACGGCCACCGGGACCCATACAATCGGTACCAGGTACCACGGAGTGATCGTTAAAGTTTCCAAGATGTTCGACTTGAACATCCGAATGTCACGGTTCACCGGGAGATTCACCCAATCCCAGTATTTGTCAGCCAAGCCTCCTACTTGACGAACTATAGGTTGGTTCCAATCAATGAGATCCTATTAAACCGTCACACATCAGTCACAGTCGCCGTACATTCGCACGGCGGAAGAGCCATCGACAATGTTCGGTGTACCGGAGGACGTTCCCTTTTCGTTTGGAGAATCGTCGGATCGACACGCGTTACCTGAAACCCTGATATCGTTCGTCTCCCTTTTTCTTTATACAACGAAGATACGGCATTGTCGCTACTGTTAGTATCGATACTATTATTATGTCGTAGGGGCTGTTTCGTTACAATGATCGCAAACGACGAAAAGAAATGAACCGAGCGTTAGTTTCTCGCAAAAAACAGAGACGGACAACGATAAAGAGATAGCCGAGATAGCCGCTCCATTGATTCCCGGAAACTAAGGCAAGTCGATTCCTCCAAACCGATCTTCGATTAACCGTGAAAAATGAGGTTTATCTGGTGTACACCCCTTACGAGACAAGGAACATTTATCGAGGATTTACGCGAAATCCAGGCTTACGACGATAGAAATATGTTATTGGACTAACCGAGCAAACAGAAAAATTATCGGGAAACCCTCGAGGAGTAGATAGCTGAAGGAACGGCTAGAGGCCGGACTGACGGCGCGATAACGCGAGGCCTTCTACGCGAAAGCCGTCAATTAAAGAACACGGAATATGAAAATAAAAATTTGCAATTCTTATCTGCGCGCCGTGGATGTTTATTTAATGAAACGTTTACTCCGGAAGGATAGTACCCACGGATAAGAGAAGACTCGGTGACGTAACATAATCGAAATTTTGGATCCGGCGTCGTCGTTGGGACTCGAGCAATTTTTTATTCTCAGCTCTCGATTACACGGCGGAACGTGCCGCGATCAAATGCGATCTCGTTGACCGATCCAATGATCCACTACTAACCCAGATCCTCTGGCGTTCATTGATAAAAGTACTTTCGTTCAACGTTCTGCACGTTTACGTCGTGCCTGACGGGAGAATCTACGCGCCATGAGATTTCGAAACTAACGAAAAGAACAGGTGAATCAAGCTCGAAACTCGAACGAGACACAAGTCACCGCTAATCAAATCGAATTGCCACGATTCGCTCGACCGAACCATGATTATTTGGAAACGTTCCTATGTTATAAACAATTGAATATCACATTCGATTCGTCGAACCTGCTAACGCCGGAAATCTATCGAACGACGCTCAAGGAAGTTGAAAACCTGATAGGCGTCGATCGGCGAAACGCAGCAGATCTCGTCGACCACGTTGCGCGAAACGGTACTCGAGAAAGTCCGCGAGCCTATTCGACCTTCGGAGATGGAGGATCCTCCAAACGACAAGAGGAAGTTCCTCGATCGGACTCACTTCGAGCTCCTGGTACTTCTGCTCGTGCACCGTATAGTCCTCCAGCAGGTGCCGGGCGGCCCTCGAGTGCGAGATCTCGTCGAAGGGCTTGTCCAGGCTCCTGTTCTCGTAATGCCAGAGCGTCTTCCTGCCGCCAGGATGGTAGTGCAGGAACTCGCGTATGTCGTACGCCCGGTTCCGATACTTCACCAGGAACGCGTCTTCGTCTCGTTTCTCCATGGCGGCCGCGGTTCTCCAGGCGACGCACTCACTGTATCCCGGATCAGTGGCCGATCGTTGTCAGAAGCGAAATCGCGATGGAACGTGCTAGCGAGTGCCTTTGAAACGGCGCTTTAACGTAGCCCGGCTTCGAATCTGTTGATAAGATTTCTGCTGTGCGGCCGAGTACTATGCGAATGGTCGGACGGATTGTATCACCTTTCGCGTTATCTACGGTGATAAATACGTGCCTATACTCTGACGCCATCCCCGAACCTATTTCTCTCTCGTCACTTTCCTCCGAGCTCGTTCATCGGGAAACCGTCGGGGATCCTCCGTCCGACCGGACACTCGGGACCATTCCCGTTCCTCTTTACGCCATCCGGACACTGAACCTTTCCCGGCCCGCGTTCGCCGCGAATATTCTATCGTGATAGACAGCCGCGCGCCGTGTCGTACAATGTTACGTAGCGGTGCCTCGCGGGCGACTCGCGTCGGCCGAAGATAAGGGAAATCGGGATGACGAGGTGCCAGGGGACCCGGGGAACACCGTTCCGTCACCGGTTCGGAGCTCCGTATTTGTGTTTGATGATCGGTACACCGGTATTTGCCGAAGGAAGGGCCGCGCCGTTGGTCCTAACGTCCGTTCGCCATGTTCCGTGAGCCCCGTGCCAGCCGCGCTTCACCGACGGGACATCTATCGCGACTGCCGATTTATCTCGGACCCCTTCTTCCGACGAATGATACGAGCAACAGGTGCTAACCGCTACCTTTGTCACCGATAACGTCTGTTCTCCGTGTCACTTCCGCGTGTCGGACTTTCAAGGATGCTCATCGCGTTCGGAAAGCGTGGGACCGATGGTTTTCGAGTAGAACCGTTGAACGAGTCCGTGACGCTAGGTGTAACGATATTAGTAATTATCCGATACCAATGCTAATAGTGATATTGATAATACTAATGCTGCTTTCTAACGTTGCCAGGTTTCCTTCGTCCGAGAGCGGTGCACGTTCTTCGAAGCGGCTGGCTTCGATCGGAAGGATCGGTCGCCGAAAAGTCGAGGACCGATAGCACCGCGCGCTTCGCAGCGGTAGAATATTCTACTGGAACACGACGGCGACGGATGCGCTACGAAAACAATAGCGCAACGATTGCGTCGACGGTGTTATTTAGACAATTGGCGGTGCACGAGGACGCACGTGTCAGCGGCTGACCGTTGGACGCGTCTAGAGCGGGGTAAGGAACGCCGGCGAGCCGTTGTTGTTCGGCAATAAATAAGCTTTTATTTAAACGTTTCTTTTCCCTTGGATATTTCGTGTATACAATACACCGCTATGTATACGATCTATGGTTTGTTAATGTCTACGAACGCGGCAGCGGTCCTGCTACGGTCCTTGCCCGATCGATGAGACGGATCGGTTATCGCCGGAGGAACACGGATTTCCGAGTAGTCTGAGCATTCGCGCTGCCAAAAATATAGCGTTTCTTCGAGCGTAATCGTCCTCGTCGTCGTCGTTGTCGTCTTCGTCGTCGTCTTCGTCGTCGTCTTCGTCTCGTCGTCGATGGGACGGGACGCGCAACCTGTTGGTATTCTCTGTAATGGCCGGACTGCGGATCTTCGTGCGTTCACAGCATTCGTACGTTTGGGAAATTTCATTCCGACTTATCGCGACAGCACTTCTGGCTAATTGAAATCAATTTAAACGTGACAACGAACAGTTGACAATTGTGTCTGTTCATCTCCGTTACGAATAATCGATAGAACGTTCAAGATTCTGCTGGTGGTCAATGTCAAGTTAACGAACTTCTTGCTTAGTTTATTTTTACCATGGGGAATCTTGCAATCAACGAAATCAGCTTCTTTATTCCGGGTTCTATCGAATGCTCTGTGAAAATGGGAACTGGCATGAGGATCCGCAGTTTAGTAATGGCCGTCGATGCTCCCGAGAGGCCACTCGTGCCGGGCCTCGTCGAGCAAACGTGCGTCATTTTCGACGGAAGTTCGCGAGTATCGCGGCCGTGTTCTACGGTCTTTCGTTTTCGGATTGTTCACTCGAACCGGACACACGAGATAGTGTATTTCTAAAGGACGTACCGCGAAGTACTCTCTGATCAACACGCGAACCGAATGGTTTGATCGAACGTCTAATTAGATCGACGCAGTCGTAAACAGTTGAACGAATTATCTTGGATAACGTTGGACGGTAAGAATGAATCGGTCAGATTAATAATAGGTTCTTAAGACGTCAGAGAAAAGGATTAACGAATCAGCGATATGAATAATTTCCAGGTTCTTCGGTCGTCGAAGGAAAGGATGAACGAATCGATGAGACGAGTAATTTCCAGGTTCTCCGATCGTCGAAGAAAAGAGAATCGAGAAAATATCGAAAGAGAAAAGCGCAACGGTTTTAATGGTAATATAATAATTTAATAGTTTCATAATAATTGATCACAAAGCGTCGCGTCTCGTGTGTTCGGTTCACGTCGTACCTGTTCGAACGCTCAGGCGTCCGGGGTAGCGTCATCTCCATTTCCGGTTCGTCGAACGACGGACGTCCGGCTTCTTCGGCGAAGGGATAAGTCGCGAGACTCATTTCCTTCGTTCGTTCCCCTTTAAGTACGGCGATGAGAAAAAAACAATATTCTGTGACCCGTCGCTCCTCGGAAACGCGACCACCAAAATCGACGGAACTTCTTTCTCTATGCTTCGTCGTTCGAGTAATCGGATTCTAGCGAGTCGGAAGTACTCTTGGTGGACGAGGATAACGTACAGCTCGCCCGTGAAATCGGATGGTAGCTAAAGTAATTCGCTTCTGGCTGTGACTTCGGTCTCGCGTGTCGTAACAGGATAAATAACGTTCGTTCGACGGAGGTCTGGTACTTGTAGAAACAATTCTTAATTACCTCGAAACCCGACGCGGTAACAAAACCGTGCTGTTCCTCGGACATGTTCGCCTCTGTACGAGCAGATTGTTTCTATAGGTTCGACTCCTCCTCTAAAAGCAACAAGCAATGATCAACTACATAAAACTCTGAAGTTTTTTAATGGACACACGTGCCCCCGTTCAAAGACACTTCACCGCTTGCTCGTTCCAATTTCTCGCTGCTAGAACTCTCGAAATGATCCATTGCTAAATTCCTCGATCGCGATTATTGCTATTCTTTGGAAATTACCGAATAACTTGATTTCATGCGCAAGCTAAGGTATACGTCAATTGAAATCTCAACGATAAAGAAACGGTAGATTAACAACCTGGTAGTTCTAGCGTTAAGAAAATTAGATATAAAATGTAGAATACAGGTTCAGCTATGTAGAAGCTCGAACATCTTTTGTTCTTTCAGATTTCTTTGTTTCTTCTTCTGTTTGTTCGTCTTTGAGAAGGTTGGGTCGGTTGTAGAAGCGGTTAGGTGACTTTGAAGGGCGGAACATGCTCACGGTCGCACTGTATCGTCTCCACCGACTATTCACTAGGAATACGTAGTCGCAACGAGGTACCGTCTATCGTACGCTACGCCCTACTCGTACGGCGCTATTTGGACGAGCTGGCTAATTCGCCCCTAGCTTAGGTTTCTCGCGGTTCGCAACTCCTCCTATCGTTTCTCTTACCCCTGAGGTTTGGAAGCAGTAGGAACGTGGGCGCCGTCTGCGAGTCGATCTTCCGACAGGGTTGAAAAATAACGCGCGGCGAACCGATCGTTGCCATCGCGGCACGGACACGTTATTGCAATGTTACCGGTACGACAGGGAATCGCTCGCAACTCGGCTATCGTACGCTACAATCCTCGAAGGAATCATCGATCCGTAGAATTACGAGATTCCTTTTATAGATATTTTATATTTCGTTTAAGAAAATACTTCGTCGAGATCCATAGGTATCAGGAGATATGATTTGTAAACGCGGAATCGTAACGGAGACAATTGTCGCGATGCGCTTTTAACAGGGAGAAAACGATCGAAACTCATTCGTCCTCGTGTTTAACACTAGATCTACCGTGGAATGTTTATTTCGTAATAATAATTCGAGTTGAAATCATTGAAATTGTTCTCGTGAATTTCACCAGTCAGCTTTTGAATGTTGAAGATATTTCTGCGTGGATACCGTCGAACGAAATTCGTCGATTTGTACGTGCACGAGGATACCGGCCGAATCTTGAGAAACGTATCGTTGCGATTTTGTTGGGAGTAGTTCTAGTGTTAACAGCGACAGGTACTAGATGCACCGCGGTGGTCTGTACAAGACGCCAGAAAGATTACTTTGATTTGTCAGAGCTACAGCGATCGGAGATCCGTCTGAACGATTTCGTCGCGCTGCTCCCACCCCTAACGATATCTTAACACCCTGTATATTTTCAGTGAAGTTCGAGAACGCGGAAGACCGACTGAAACGCGTGATTCGCACCGAGGGACATGAATGCAGACGGCACTCTTTCTCTAAATAAGAACGAGGGAGACTGATGTCGGCGCGGCTCGCTTCTTCGCGAGGGAGGAAGTCTAATCTTGGCGCGGGTGCACGCGGCTCGATTGCTTCGTGGATAATTACCCGCCTGGATGTTCGTTTTGTCTAACACGTTTGCCACCGCCGTCTCTGCCAGCCGACGTTCCTCGCAATTAACGGGCATTCAACGATTGCCAAGAATCTTCCCTCGAAAGAACCCTAGCAAAATATGTAACAGAGCGGAGGCATCGATTTGTGGCGTATCAAAACTTCAATCCGTAATGACAGTAAATAACAATAGCGCGCAACGTAACAGAGACCATCGATTCACGATGAAAATCAGACAAGCTTATTGCTCGAGTATCTTAATTTAAGGAACATTTCGAACTCGCGTTCTCTTAATATCGTAAATACAACGTAGTCTCGCTATAATTTAGTAATCATTAATAATATCTCTTAAACGTACACCGATCAATATTCAATCGCCGAGCGTCTTTTATAATAAAGTATATTAGCACGGGCTGGTAGCAAACGCGTTAGCCAAAAGATCCGACAAGCGAACGATCGATCGGTTCTCCGGATTGAAAAGATAGAAATCGTGGTTCTAAACGAACGATCGTCGCGGATCACGTTCAGGCCGGTCGGAAACGTTTCGTCTTAGAGTCGAGCGAACGAATCGACGAGGCCGAGGCTCGGACACCTGTTCTCGACCGGCTCTCGAGCGACGCCGAACGTTCGCTGTTGGTCGTCTCTGATCTTTCCCCTTCTCCCCGGTATGTTCTATGTTTCTTTAGTCGATTTCTCTTCCTCTGAATATTTTACTCTTTTCGTTAATTCGCCTCGCGCGGCTCTGATCCCCGCCGCGGCGGTTTTTCGACGGAAGTTTAAAAGTATTGCTTTCGGAGCGGAACACCGATCGCCCCGTTCCTGGCGTGTCCGGCAACGGGCGCGCGGTGTTTCACGCGCTGTTCGATTCTCGCCGGTCTCTCCTTGGCCCGGGAGAGCTGGAAGAGGCTGCGGACCCAGCGAGGCGACGGTCGGCTCAGAAGTCCATCACCTCCATCTTGAACGGCTTGCCCTGCAGCTTGTTGGGCACGATCTTCGTGATCGGGGGCGCGCTGTTGTTGTCGTCGTCGCTGTTTATGTCCTCGTCCTCCTCGGGGAAGTCCTCGAGCCTGTCGTGATACTCGTCCAGCTGGAAAACCAAGGTACCGATCAATCTTTTCTGAACGGTCCGATCGCGTTTCCGCGACAATCGCTCGGCGAACGAACAAAACTCTTCAGCTACAGGTCTAGGCGGAGTGTTAGAACGTTCCGGGGAACGAGGCTGATCTATGGCGAGTACTTTGGCAGTGAACAGAGAGCGGTGCCGGTGAGATAGGTCAAGCTGGAAGCTTCTTATTTTACCAATCGAACATTTCTCATATCGTGTTTTTCTTTTGCAGGCGACGACGACCGCTCAGACGAATCGTCTTCTTCATTCTCAAGCGGAAAAATGGTCTCTCGCGCGGGCGACGGCTAGTGCGAAGCACGCGCGCGCACATAGAAGCTACAGCATTCCGTAATACGTAGTATTCTACAGACTCACGTGTAAGGTAGCTACGGAAGAAGCGATTAACCGACGTTACCGCACACCGAACGGACGGTTACCTATAACTGCGGGTACGTCCAACGTGAATCTTTGTTGTGCTCGTTGCGACTCGACCGACGCACCCGGAGCTTCTCCAAATTCTTTTATTCTTTGCGATCAAGTATGTCTTCAAGTACAGCTAGATTTCCATTAATTACGTTTCATTAGAGTCGGTTAGAACTGGATCTCTATTAGGTTGAAATTAGACAGGTGAACAACTACTCGAGTTTGAGAAAGAAGCTCGCGGTGCGTCGATCGAGTACTCTTCCACCATGATCGCTACGTAATCTAAGCTAACTGATGGGCGTGCTTTGTGTGTCTTTCGATAGCTGTACTCGGGGCTGAAGGTCTTAGGCAGATCGCTCTTACTTACTTATTCAAGTAAAATGCTGATAGTTACTGATACGAAGAGGCTTTAACAATAGATACTTTCTAGCCGAGTGTACAGCGAGCTTCAGCAATCATGACGCGATAGTGTCTTTATCTTGAAAAGAGAACAATCAAGCTTATTACACGGTTCCGTGATAGACCACGCGATTGCTGTAGTGGCGATCGGTGATGTCGAAGAAATGGTGGATCATAGCAAGAACAAGGAAACAACGTGAAGAACAACGTGACACGATTCCTCTACACAGACGGGTCGACCAGCGTACTCTGTACTCGTAGGGTCCCATCGGTGGATACACAGAAGCTACGAAAATCGTCGAGGATGGAAGCACATCGATGCTGGTGCGTGTACAGATATGTGTGCTCGAAGGCAACGATGGAACGCGGTACCGAGCCCAGCGGAACCATAAATAGAAGCTCCGATCGCTGGCCAACTTTTCATGCGACGCAAACTTCTCTTCAAGGTTCCGTTCAAGTTCGACAGCTCGTCGCATCGTTACGTCCAAGTGTGTACAATGGAGTGATCGGAGGAGCGCGTGGTTGATGTCGGTGAAACGAGCGAAGCGGAAGTTTCAGCCTGGCTCCACTCACATCGACGTCGCCCATCATTTCCTTGGTGGAGACCGTGGTGTCGATGCGTCGTATGCTTCCTTGATGGATGTCAACGTCCAGCTTGACGCACTGGAACCGCCTCAGGCAGAAAACGATCGGTATTGGCGCGATGCCCGCGAAAATGATCACGACCGCTATGGCCAGCACCCAGCCCGGATAATCGGTGGCCACCGCCATCCCCTAAAATAAACCACGTTTGAAGCGATAGTCGTAAATTCGATGTTTCTCTAGCAGCGTCCAGGATCGGCGAGGACGTTGATAGCATTTTAAGTCCCATGTTCTTACCTGCGTGGCGTCCCACGCGGAATACTGAGGCTTCTTGATGAACATGGAGGCTATACTGGACACAAGAATGCACACCATGATTATGGGAGCTAGGAACCGCCATGTCACCTGCCAGTACGTTCCCGGTCTGTATCCCGTCATTTCCTCGATATCCTTAGTGAACCTGAAGAGGTTTCATTATGGGCGTTTAATGGTTTTCAGTTTCTACTCGGTGGCTTTATGGTAGATGTTTGTAATAGTGGACGATACTTTTCATGGCCGTAGATGAAGACGACGGAAAGCATTTCCATGAGGGCGACCATTACTAAACCAATAGTGCCTGCGAAACTGTCGAACATCTTCAGCCAGTACTCTCCGGCGCCGGTGCAGAAGATCAAGCCGACGAAGAAGCAGACGATACAGACAACGCCTGAGGAGGAGGACGAAGGTTTAGCGTGAAATTTAATTTCGTGATGTATGCTACATGGAGAGCAAGTCGTACCTGTCATGTACTGCTTCTTTATTCTTTTGAAGAGGTCTATGTCGAAGATGACGCACAGCATACCCTCCAGTATACCGATCTGGGAGCCCAGACCAAGAGCGAGGAGCATCATGAAGAAAATGCAGGACCAAAATGGCGCACCCGGCAGCTCGACTATGGCCTGCGTGAACACTATGAACGCCAGTCCTGTTCCTTCGGCGGCCTGGCGATTCATTCGTGGATCAAGAGACGGAAACAAGGATCACCGCCTGATTAACACTAGACGCTATCGAATAGTCATGCTCTGTCGTTCTCGGTGTAAGATATTCTGATGGTATTCACAATTGAGCCATTCGTTTGCCGAAGTAATTCGGTTCATCGCTCAAAGATCAAAAATGTTAAACGTAGGTGATCGAGGACGATTGAATTGAAGAAAAAACAGAGTCAGTTATAGTTCAGCCTGCGAAGAGCTCAATTGTGAAAGGAACGATTCAAAGTCCGTTATCTGAACGACTGTTCGACGGTTCCAGTGTCAACGACCGAGGCTAGAGAAGCGTTGGATCCTCACGTTGTCGAGCTGTTCGCTCAGGCTACACCTGCCGAGCGTTTGGTTCAGCGCGGACACGTTCAACTTATTTACAACGTCTTCGTACTGGTCCATGGTGATGTTCAGGTGAGAGATCAGTCCGTTTTCGAACAGTATGTCTTTGTTGCTGCGAACGAAGCGAACGTATCCGTTAACACGGCGGGGTCCGGCTGTGGTTTAGGGGGTCGGGGACCGTTATGGTCCTCCGTTACCTGGCTATGCACTTGTCGACGTTCGTCATCGCCTTGAAGCCCAGTATGGCGAATATCACGACGCTCGCGTAAATCGCGGTGAACGCGTTACAAGTGCTGACCAGTATCACGTCCCGGACGCAGTGGTTGTCCGGCGTGTTGTACGAACCGAACGCGATCAGGCTGCCGAACGCTAGCCCGAAACTGTAAAATACCTGCGTCGCAGCGTCGAGCCAGACCGTCGGCTCTAACAGTTTCTCGATCTGAGGGAAACGAATCAACGATTCAGTGTACACCGGTCGAACCGAGGAGCTGATACGAATTAGAAGCGGAACTGTCGATTACCTTTGGCGTGTACATATGGGCCAATCCAGCGCTGGCACCTTTTAACGTTATTCCACGAATAAAAAAGATAGTAAGCACCAAATACGGGAACATGGATGTAAAATATACCACCTTTAAATCAAGCAAAGAAATAAGTCGTCGACACAGTATCTGACTATGGCCACGTTCACGTGGAGAAGAGTTAGTCTCAGGGAGAGGGTGTTGGCCTTTGGACGGGGGATGGTTCAGAAAAAGCAAACGCGGGAAAAGAAATACAGTAACGGAGAGATAGATAGAGAGAGAGAGAGAGAGAGAGACAGAGAGCAGAATCCGCGTCTCTTTACCTTTCCCGACGATTGTATTCCCTTCATCACGATAAAGAAGACGATGACCCAGCTCAACAGCAGACAGAGCACGATCCACCACTTCAGGCTCTGACCGGCCTCGATCGAGGGCGCCGCGTCCAGCGTTGTTCTGTACCAGAAGTAGGCGGTCTCTGAACTCTTCACGCACTCTTCGACCGGCTTACCGTCCACTTCCGGGCATTTCGCCCATGGCAATGGATCCTGCGGTGGATTCGTTCGTGTTTCAGATCTTTTAATTGTCGAACGGTTAATGCTAAGGCTCGAAGAGGATTGTTATAATACTGTAATCGATACGACGTTGCAACTGCTCAGAATGTGAAAGGTTTCTCGTTGCTTCTACAGTCTATGATCAATGATTACCACGAGGAATGTTGAAAACTAGTGGCCTTGAGAGGTTTTGAGCAAGGCGATTAGCTTCGCGATTGACTCGTATCTACGGTGAACAAGAGTTAGAGTGCAACGTCGTTTCTTCGTGAGATCGTTCGGAGAATCCGTAAATAGTATTTATTAACAATCTCGGATGGATTCGGGATGTCCCGGAACAAGCATTCCGCCGTTGGCTTATTTCCAATCAACGTCACGCGTTCGACGGTTTCACGAGTTTCGAGCACACGACTCTTTCCGGGACATCCGGCCATGGCATTCCCAACTGAAACATGCTTCGCAGAATTGTCTGCGTCGTACAAACTCTACGTGACATGCGGTCGCATGCGGATAACGAGCTGCGTAGCATATGTAATCGTGCGGGCAACTTACGCCGAATTTAATCGTGACGGCCTAATCCAACGGGCAGCGTGAAACACAAATCGTATATGTTAGTCGCACGCTCGTCGTTCGGTGTCTCTGGATCTGATCTTTTATTCGACGGAATAATGCGGTCGGATCGATCGGGTGTTAAAAGGAAAGATATACGATGTGAGAAATGACACGGGGTATGGGTAAAGTAAGGTGTACAACTAACAAAATGTCGAATTGACAAGGTATTAATGTAACAAAGTAGAGAATTAATGGAACATTAAGGTGACAAAGGGACGAATGAATAAAACATCGAAATAACAGAATGAAACGGTGAAACGAACAGCTCGGAGCAACGATATTCACCTCGAGCGAGTTGAACAGGTAATAGAAGCACCAAGTGATGATCACGTTGTAATAGAGCGCTACGAAGAAGGTGACGATACACGAGGCGATCCCTATGCCGCCCAGCCAAGGGTGTATCGTGTTCCAGACGCCGAGGGCACCCTGACGCATACGTTGACCGAGACCCAGCTCGATCAGAAATAGGGGCACGCCCTCCAGGATTAGCATCACGAAAAAAGGGATAAGAAAGGCACCTGAAAACAATACACACATTTCCCCCTTATAATTCAATCTTCCATCTTCTCCATTCACTCATCGAAAACGAGAA